ACATAAGAAGGAAATAGATACATGCTGTTGTGCCTTTACAGCCGCATCCTCTCTGAGCGTTCCCGCTCCTTCCCTCACTCTCATGGATTAATGAGGGGCTGATGGACCTGAAAGGTGTGGGTGAATTGAAACAGGAACCTCTCGGGTACCAAATACCTCTAGGGGAAAGAAAGCACCATTTAAAAAACAAAATAAAACAGAAAGCATGGTTTGTTTTCCCTGAGTTGTGGCTCTGTAATATATATACATATAAATGGATATATAAATATATATGTGTATCTCTGAGCAGAAGAGCAGGGGGGAGGCCCCTCCGTCTGCCCCCTAACCCCCGCTTCCACGTCCCCAAGGGCTCCGGCCTGCTTCAGGTGGGGAGGCAAGAGCTGAGGCCACCCTGCTGACTACTGACCGCCTCCCCTTCAGTTGGCAGCAGCAAAGGGAGCGGATTCCCGGTCATAAGGGCCAGCCTTGACCTGTTGCCACTCCTGCTCCCCGCCGGGCAAGGCGAGCTTCCCCGTGGTCTTCAGGGAAGGTTCTGAAAAAAGGTGGGGTCCACCCTCCCTCCAGAGCCATTCCTGTGAGGGTGGAAGCAGAAAGAAGGACGGGAGCCCTGAAGTGGGCAAGGCCAGGCTGCTGCCTGGGCACAGTAGAGCATCCTCGCCCTCCTCCTGGGCACCAGCTCTGGGCCCTGTGCCTGGTCTCACTGGCCACCCCTGGGGGCACAGCCTTTCCCAAGGGTGGGGCCCGGCACCATACCCCACCCACCTGCGCCAACCCTTCCACACTCTCCTCTCAGGCGCTTCTTGGCCCTTTGTCCCCACTTAGCAGCCCTTCTCCTACACAGACTGAGAGTCAGGCAGTTCTAAGAGCGTGACATGTTCTAGAAAGAGTATGTGTGACTTTTTGTTGTTTTAACTACATAGGATGCCTGAAGGTTTGTGCTGCCATTTTGGCTCTCAAGCTAATGAACCTCCTGGTGTTCTCATGTTTTGGATTTTATTCTGGACAGTTCAGAGGACCTGGGGACTCCCTGCCATGACACACAGTTCAATAGCTTTAATCAGTTATTCATTATTCACCCATGTATTTAATGAGCAACTCTCACTATCTAACATTCCAGGCTTTGAAGAGGGCCAAAGAATGTAAGGGATTGCCTCTCATCTCTAGGAATCTACACTGTATCCGGGGAGACCACATACCAACATGTGGAACCGCCCCAGTTAAGGCAGAACGATGTTGGGCACTAGGAAGGGGGCCCTGGATGAGCGTGGGCTGGAGTGTGCAGGCAAAGCTTCCTGCAGAGGTGGGATCGGAGGGTCCTTAAATAGTGGGCAGGATTCTAACAGTAGGCAAGGAAAGGAAAACCTCCTATGTCTGAGGAACAGCAGGTGTGTCAGGAGGCTTTCCTGAGTTTGTGTGAACCTGGAAGCCTGCTGCCGCCACTGGGGCCACCACTGTAACCACAAGGACGGTCTGCTGACCTGGAAGCTTGACAGGCCAGAGCACACACAGAGGGGCATCGGAAATCCTAGCAGGTGCCATAGGGCCTAGCATCATGTGGATTCCCACAAGTGCTTCAGGCAAACATCTCAGGAGCCAGTGAGGTGGAAGGCTGGCAGAACTGCCCTTGGACTCTGAGGTTCTCAAAGCCCACTTTCCATCAGAGAATTGTGTAGTTAACGTCCCAAAGCTCACTTGCTGGGTCGTTCCACGTGACTGACTTGATGTTCATTCCCTCTAAGCAGAAGTGGGACCAGCGGGGAGTTATGGTTACCACTAACGGAGCGTGGTTCTTATGATCTTTGCTTTGTTGTCCTTCTTCCCAAATTTTATCCAAGGAGGCTAATGAAAGGAGGCTTCCTGGGGCTTATTAAGAGCAAGCACATCTCTCTTCAAGAATTTGGGGCCGTCGGCACACGCTCAGACCCACCTGCTGGCCTCCTTGTCCACGCTGTCTCGTCCAGCAAGGAGCACACTCTTGAGCAAGAGCCTGGTATGTCCTGGTGTCAGAGACAAGCCCAGCCTGGCTGAAGCAGAGGGATCGTCAAGAGAATAGGGGAAAAAATACCCACAGCACGATGGGGCAGCTGTGATGACAAGATGTCCGTTCAGACCAATGTGCCAGCAGTGTGCATATAAGTCAAAAGATACCCTGGTTGTCCTCTAACCTGTCTCCCTGCCTTCAGGATCCTCTCTCCACCCAAACACAGCTGCACAGGTCCTCTTCCTGAGTACAGATCTCATCATGTCACCCTCCAGCCAGCACCTGGGGAAGGCTTTCTGCCACGTATCAAAATACGTTCAGGATGTCTAGCAACACGGCAGGTGGATCTTTTCCCATTGTGGAGTCAGAGAAATATTGGGTAAATTATAACCAAAAAAGATACTTTATTTTAATATATGTTGTCCTCAAACAAAACAAAAAAAAAAGAGAAATCGTCAAGTGGCAGAAATAAAAAGAGAAACCAAAGCCAAACAGTTAAGTGGAAGTGGAAGCCTGTTGTCCACGGAGATCTTAGAGGAGCCCAATTTAGACTCTAGAGACTGGGCTGGGATGATAACGCTTGTATGGGAATGGGAGATGCGGCCTTACACTTGCTTGGAGGAGAGAAACTTTTGATCTGAGCTCAGCAGAAAAGCAAGAGCATCAAAGAGATGTCCCTTCCTTAAAAGGGGATTAGAAAATGCTGCCCACAAGCTCAGGTAAGTACAAGGAAGCAAATGGTCTATCTTGGGATGTGGGCATGAAATAAAAATCATCTGACAGAAATTGAATCCCTAGAGCCTGTGCCATGAACGGGCGCAGTGTCCAGGTTTATACTACCTGTGAGGTCCATGGACCCCTAGCAGAGATACTAACATAACATAATGTTTGGTCTAAAACAATTGAAACCTCCAGGATCCTAGTAGACACTAATGCCAAAGCCCTCTGTAGAAACACTGTCACAACCCAGAGCACATGGGAGTCACACAGGAAAAACAAATCCTACTGAAGATGAGCTCACAATAAAAAGTGACAAATCACATGATGAAATGAGCCTCTGTGAGCGGGAACCAGTAGGTGCATCCAGCAGGGTACTTGGTGTCTCCAGGACTGCAGATAATGGAACAATCTGAAAGAAGTTGTAAACACATTCATACCCAGCATTTCAAAAGCAGAACTCAGCGGTTCTGGCCCCTGTCCCAACCTGTTCCTCCTGTGTCCGCCTTCTTAGTTCATGCCATTCCGATCCCTCCTGTCATATGGACACAAAGTCTTGAGCCGTCGTCAGATTCTTCCCCTCTCAGCTTTTCCCCTTACAAGTGGCTCTCAATTTTCCCATCTTTCTTCCTCTCCTCTGTTACTGCGATGGGCATCTAGCTGGTCTCCCTGCCTTCCCATCTCCAATGTGCCCCTTTCTCTTTATTCCACCCCCACACTGCCACTAAGTTATCCTCCTAAACGTCAAGCCCTATGATTTCACTTCCCCAAGCCAAACTCCTGATTATGAAAGCCCAAGCCTTTCCCAACTTAGGCTTAAACTTTTTTCTAGTTTTATTTCCTATTATAATATGTCACCTGCACCCACTCCTCCACCCCAACAGCCACTCGGGAATACTTATCCTTCCTACACTCTCCCTCATGCTTCCAAGCAGTCTCTTCCCTCGGACTAGACTGCTCCCCCATCACATCTGCTGATTGAAGTTAAACCTTAGCTTCAACCTTCTAGAAGCGTGATGTTGTGGAAGAATGAAGGCATCATTAGGGCTAGACATATCTGGTTTCAAATTCCAGTTATGTCACTTATGCTCTGTGCCTCAAGCAAACCTCTCCAAGCCTCAGTGTCTAATTAAATAAAATGGGAATGAGACCTACTTTGCAGAGTTGGGAGAATAGAGATAATCTCTATAAAGCACCGAGCACAGAAGTGCTCAATAAACAGTTGCTGAATTAAGCCTCTGTCCTTGCATTTTTATGGGAGCTGTGTCCTACTGCTTCCCCAACCAGGGCTCCATGAGGCCTGAGGTTTTGTCTCATTTATCTTTGCATCTTCGCACTTTCCTGTATCTAACCCAGGAAGTCTTGAAACACGTCAATTGACAAATAGTGGAAAGAACTAGGCATGCCTAACCTGATGCTAGAAGGGAAGATTTTGGGTAGAGGGACCTGGCAGATCTCAGATGTTGGAAGGGTATTGAGGGCCAGTTTATACTGTGTCACTCCAGAGAGGGCAGAACCACCATCAGGAGCTAAAAGGAGGCTGGTGTTAGCCCAGGATAGGGAGGAATAGCCAACATTTAGAGCTGTTTATCATAAGAGCAGGTGCCAAATGTAAGCCATGTGCAATTAAAAAACTCAGATTATAGAAAGTATTCACTATTAATAATGAGAGCAATTCATTCCTATTATAGGTATCTTCAAAATGCACACATTCCATCTGGGAGGGCCTGGTTCATATCTAAAAGCTCAGTGTCTTTTGCCCCAAATTCAATGCTCTCTGTATTTTTTGATTAAATGAATGAATAAGTGAATGAATGAAATCACTGATTAATCTGATCTTTAAGGAAACACGTGCTACAAGAAGGAGAAAAGAGCAGGAAAAAAGAAAGAAAAAAATGAAGGGTTTTAGAAAAAGACCAACACAGGATGCCAAGAGGGTAGAGAAGGGTGAATCAGGGTTAGAGAAGAGGATAAATTTTGGAAGGCCCAAACCCCTGGCTGAGTACCCCAGTGAACTTCTAAACCTAGGATTCTGTGGGAGCAGCCTCACTGGCTCAAATCTGCCAGCCCTGGCTGCTTGCACTTAGAGCCATCATGGCAAATACCCAGGGGCTACCAGGGATAATTGCTCATAAGATCATGACTGGGTCCAGATGATATTCTCATTTGATTTTGAAACCTCTTTCCCTCTGTGAATTTAGGTCTTAATTATTACACAACCACTTGTCACTCTATTATTACAATTGCTCAGTTTGCACTTAGTAATGAGTTATTAAATGAAGTTTGTTGAGGTATGTTTTTTTCCTTCGAGTATCATTATTCTAAGAATAGTTGATTTTCAACATGAACACTGGTGATAATAAGTCCCAAGAAGAAAACATCTTGTCCAAGTGCAGAGGGATTTTTTGTTTGATAAACTGAGTTTAAGATTCTCAAGGATTAGCTGGATTTTCCAGTTCATATGAGCAAAGATAAGCTGCTCTGTCCGGGTCAAGACTTCTTGCTCTCCCCGGGCCCTGCCGCACCTGCACTCGCCTGGAGACACGCTAGCTGCGGGATTTCAGGAGGCTCCTCACGCTCTGCAGGGCCTCTGGCAGCCCCTCGCCGGTGAGGGCACTGCAGGCCTGGAGCTCCCAGCAGCGGTCCTGGAATCTCTCCAGGCCCAGCCTGTCTCTGATGGCAAGCATCGGCAGAGCATCAGGTGCCTCCTGCTTGTTGGCCAGCACCAGGAAAGGGACACTGGCCATGTTGGGGTTGTCCAGGACTTCCATGAGCTCAGCCACTGCCTCGGGCAAGCGGGCTTCGTCTGTGCTATCCAGCACATACACGAGGATGTCCGTGCCTTCTAGGTAGTCCTTCCAGCTGGCCCTGAGCTGGGTCTGCCCCCCGACATCCCAGAGGGTCAGAGACACATGCCCCGGGACGTTGAGAGTCTCCACGTTGAAACCGATGGTGGGCAGGGTCTCCACCAGCTGGTCGTCCTTCAGTTTGTACAGGAGCGTGGTCTTGCCGGCTGAGTCGAGGCCCATCATCATCACCTGGGCTTCCACCTTGTGACCTCGGGAATTCACAGAACCCATGGTGGCCACGGCTAAATCCTAGGGGAGAAAGGCCAGGTGCACACATCAGCCATTCTTTTCTAAAGGAACACAAATCCATGCAGGCACATGGAAGAAGAGTGTCTACTCCAAAAGCAGAAAGTGTCTTTACAATGGCAGGTTTCAAACATGAGCCTGGGCTCCGAAAGGGCCAGGAAGTAAGAGTGTGTGAGTCACCATCAGCTGACCCATCTCCAGGGGGCGGGAGGCGGGGGTGGCTGCTTCAGAGAAAGTAGGCTCACATTCCTTGGTAGAGTAAGGGAGCAAAACGAGGTTCCAATTAGACATACCTAGTCCAGTAGAAATGACAGAAAGACGTCTTCAGTTCTTGCTAGTTTGTGGTTTCTAGCCTCTGTTTTCCTTCTGTAAGCCTAAACACTGAAATGGAAGCTATCTTGGGTTCAGTGCGCCGAGTGAAGAGAATAATCGGCTCAGAGTAACTCCTGCTGCCGTTGGAACTCCCCACAGGACCAGCACTGTGTCCTGTAAACAGTGGCTATTTATAAATACTGTTGAGTGGGGACAAATTTACCAGTTGGAGCAAAGTGGTTTCCTCCAATGTCTTACCCAGGTAAATTACCTCTAGAACCCACTCATGTTTTTCAAGAATTCCAAATTTTAAGACTAAGGCCTGTTCCCAAACTAGTCAGGGGAAAACTGGCTGGGACAGGTGAAGGGACAGCTAACCCCCAAGAGAATATTCCAGCTGCCCCTGGAGGAAAATAAGACAGCCTCTGTTCCTTTCTCATCCCAGGGGTAGAAGAGTAAAGGTAAAGTTACCTGCGTGTTATCAGACTGTGGCGGAATGCTCCTCCTCTGCGGCTCTCTGCTCCCGTGCAGTTGCTTTCTGCCCGTCAGTAATGTCCCAAGAGCGAGATGTGAAGCAAGTGTGGTGACTGCTGCTGTTTCTCCTTTTTCTGCTTCCTTTTCCCTGTGGTTGGGGGTTGGGGCGGGCTCCACAGCCCCTCCCTCAGCCCTAGGGGGTCCCTGAGCAGTCGTCTCACTGGGAGTGTGCCGCCAAGATGTCCCCAGCCCTGCAGCTCTTAATAGAGCGAGGCCCAGCACCAATTCCCAGCTCTTAGCAGCTCAGACTCAATGCAGGAAGGAGGGTGCCCCACGCAGAGCTGTGCCCACGTTCAGCTACTTTCTTTCTCCCTTCCTCTTATAATCTGTGACCTCCTCCGTGGAGAACTCTGCGAATCGGTCCTTTTCCTGCCAGCGCATGCCTCGATGTTTTTCTGGTGCCAGGAGATTCTTTTGTTTGATTGGAACCATACATGCTTTAAAAAACTACCTAAGTATGATTAAAACACTCTAAGAAATAGGTATATATGTTGAAGGTAAACCACAACAATTTAAAAGTTGTGTTAATGGGCTAGAACTATGGGCGAATGAAGTTGTTGCTTAATTTTTTCTTGAATAGTGTCATTACATTTTTCCCGGTAAAAATAATACCTTCAGAAAATATAATTTTTTTAAAAATTTTATTTATTTATTTTTGCCCCAAAGCCCAGTAGATAGTTGTATGTCATAGCTGCACATCCTTCTAGTTGCTGTATGTGGGACGCGGCCTCAGCATGGCTGGAGAAGTGGTGTGTCGGTGTGCGCCCGGGATCCGAACCCGGGCTGCCAGTAGCGGAGAGCGCGCACTTAACCGCTGAGCCACAGGGCCGGCCCCAGAAAATATAATTTTTAAAAAATTGGCTAGTCAGAATTCGGGAGCTACCTGATTGGGATCTGAGTTGTCGTGATTTGGCTCTTGTAACCAGTAACGTTTATGTAGTGCCTTCTGCTTTCCTGCTCGTTATTTCATTAAAACGTCAAGAACCAAGTTGGGGGTTATGATGCTGCCATTTTACAAATGAGGAAACAGGCTCAGACAGGGTGAAGAGTTGCTCATGATCCTGCTGGGATTTAGAATTGTCTCTTTCTCTTTCACTGCGTTGTGCTACTCACTGAGAAAGTGCTTTGTAAATGGCAAACACCCTATTGTAATTGTGGTTGTCAGGTTTTAACAGGAAGAAGTGATTAGGAAAAGTCAGAAACATGGACACCACTGTGTTATGTCCACCACTGGGTCATGTGTTGTTGAAGTTACTGCATGCCTGTGATTGTAGGCTACAGCCGTTTTGTAAGGGCCAGGGTGTGTGTGGTGAGAGACAGAAGCATGATAGAAGGGATAATGGGGGTGGAAATATCGTCAAAGAAAAGCCAGAGCTGGACAGTAGTTAAAGTAGCAAAAATAGATTTTGTTCAGGACTATTGCAATCGGGCAAAAGAGACCTCAGTATAGAACTAGGCTCAATTCTATATACAGCATGGGCAAGTGGGGATTTATAGCCAAGGAGCAGAATGGGAGTCAGTGGATGGAAAATTACCAAGAGGAAACATGAGGGGTAAAGGTGGGTTCTGGCTAAACGGAGCTAATAGGATTCTTGCTGAAGTCAGGCCAGGGGGATCAGATATCACGTGGGGGGTGGGGGGGATGAGGAATCTGATCAGATATCAAGGGTGATCAGATATTGAGGGTGGGGATTCTGGTTAAACTGACTTAGCAGAGTTCTTGCTGACACTGGATTTTACAAGGAATTACACAGATGGGCCTAGGAGAAGGTTCAGGAGCCTGAATAAAGTTTGATCAAGCAAAGAATCTTTGTCATTATCCCAGGGCAGTCTCAAAGCAATAAAGAACTGTCTGGAGGAGGGCTTGTCCGTCTCACCCATGGTGCAGGGCAATCAGATCAAGCTGGGACTCGGTCCCGTCCAGGCGCAGCGGAGGAACCAGTGGGAATTCTGCCAACACTGGATCTGCAGGAGGATTGGGGTGGGCAGAGGATGAGGATGCAGCAGGCTAAGGATAAGGGGTGCCTGGGGGCTGGGGAGCCAGGGGGTTCTGACTCTGGTCCCCATGTCTGAGCCCCAGGGAGGGAGGAGAGGTGGGCAGAAGTGGAAGAAGACGTTGATTGAGAGGCTTAGAGGCACCATACCAAGCTGCTCAGCGACACAGTGAGGGAAGGGACCCTCCCTTTGGCCTCCTGCCCCGAGAATTTTGGGGGAAACCTGGGGCCACATGGGCATCTGGAGACGCCTCTGTGGTATTGACCTTGGGATCTTAGAGAGGCATTGCCCCTCAGGGACACTGCTCAGACTCCCCTAGAAGTAAAGGAGGCTTTCCTAAGGGCTAAGGTCCTGCAATAGCTGGAGAAGATGAGAGCCAGGGGAATAGCAATTGCTTTGAATATGACCCTAGTTCTACCCAAAGGCCATTGTGGCCCGAGTTACCTCTGTACACCCCACTCCTTCAGTTCAACTAGGAGGGAAGCTTTTCGTTGGACACCCTCATGTGGGGAGCTTAGAGGGGCTGCAGTCCGGGGAGGCACAACAGAGCAGAGGGTAACACGGTGGGCTTTGACTTTAGTTCACCTGGGAGCACACTTGGCCTCCACTGCTTTCTGCTCTGTCACCTCAGGCAGGTTCCTGAATTTCTCTGTGCCTCAGTTTCTTGTTCTGTTATAATATGGTACCTAACTTGAAAAGTTTTGGGGGAAGATTAAATAAGTTAAGGCACGTCAAGTACTTTGCCCCCAAAGCAGGCACCTCATCCCAGGTTAGTCCTATGAAATAAGGGAAGGGGAGCCATCAAAAAATAGAGGCGTGTGGCCGGCCCGGTGGCATAGTGGTTGGGTTTGTGGGCTTCGAGGGCTCCGCTTCAGTGGCCCAGGCTTTGCAGGTTCGGATCCCAGGCATGGACTTAGGCACCACTTGTCAAGCCACACTGTGGCAGGCGTCCCACATAAAATAGAGGAAGAGGGGCATGGATGTGAGCTCAGGGCCAGTCTTCCTCAGCAAAAAGAGGAAGATTGGCAACAGATGTTAGCTCAGGGCTAATCTTCCTCAAGAAAAAGAAAAAATAGAAATGTGGTTGGAGAGGGACACAGCAACTTTGTAGGCCTGTGACTGCAGCTTCTAGAACTGTAATAGAAAAGAGGGGCTCTGCTAGACTCACTGAGACAGGAGGGATGAGGGTCTTGGGCCCCACCTCTACCACACCAAGAACTCACGACTTCCCCAGAGGGCCACTGACTAAGAGCCCGATGGTTCACAGTGTGAGTTTAGAAATAGACTTTTGCCAATTCTCATACAGCTAGTCAGGCCTGGAAGATCAAGGCATACTCACCACACTCACAGAGAAATGATTTATGACCCAGAATACTACTTCTTACATCTCCAATGGGATCTATTTGGCCCAAGACCAAGGGCCAGTTCTCTGTGCAGCACACCCGGAGGAGGTGGTGGGGGAGGGAGAGGCGTGTGGTGGATGCACAGGGTACTGAGTAAATCAGCCGTGGAAACCATGTGCACACTGGCTGTTTGGAAACAATGGAAAGTTGGTGGTTTTTAAGGGATTGTTTGTCATGGAACAGGGCCTGGTGATCACTTTCTGTTCTCCTCTCTACAGATAGGTCCAAAGGAGGAGAGTGCTAGAATCAGAGCTTTGCTCTCCTGGAAAGTGCTGGAGAAACGCTGACAGATTCTTCCTTTCCAGCCCTCCTGTTCCTGGGCTCCATAGCAGCCCCCACCTTTCTGTCTTGTCGTGACTTCATCTTTCTCTAGTCACTCACTTTCTCAACTTATTTCCAAGGACAACATCTTTTAAAAATCAGATTTTATTTATTTCTATTTTCAAGCTATCCATACAAAATCCAAAAGGTACAAAAGGGTAGAGTGTCCAGGTCTTCTCTCACCCCTGTCCTCCAGCCAAGCAGGTCTTTTCCTGGGGAAAAACCCACATCATCACTTTCTTTTTTCCCAGAGATAGTCTGTGCATATGTAAGCAAGTAAGATACATTCGTTTTTCATATTTTTCCTTTTTTTTCCCCCCAAATGGTAACATACTTTGAGGGATTTAATCTCTTGAGTAAATCTTCTCTCAGTAAGAATTTCTTAGCCACGGGCTCTGTCAAGGATCCGCGGGAGCGAACGAATCTGGGAGGAGTTACAGCCAGCAGCCCTGGGCCGCCCGCCCGACCTCCCTAACCCTCAGCAGCTGCCCAGTGAGTGATGTTGGGGAGCATGGGAAAGCTGTCCTTGGGGGGCATTGTGGTGAGAATCAACGCTCCACTTACGCTAAAGGTTGAAGTTGTCTGAGACATTTAACTCCCTCTATGACTATCATTTATTAGGCAACCCTGTGGATCCCTAAGCAGTATATCTGAATTAGGGATGGTGGCCACAGGTGCGGTATGCTTATAGTTGCCTTTTACAGGTACGAATGCCCAGGGTTAGGCTTTCCCCAGGCTTGGAGAAAGTGGGCAGAGAGCACAAGTCGACTCCTAGACTGAGTGCAGTGATTCTCAATGGCAGCCCTTTGAAAGTCTCTTTAGAGCATCCCCCTTGGCACTCAGGGGGCGGAGGCCAGAGATCATTGCCGGGGATCATGCTGCACAAGAAAGAATGCTTCTTGAATTTAAATTCAACTTTTGAATTTCCCAAACATTTACATAGTTTTTACAAGCCCACTATTTAAAAATTATCTGATTCTAGAATCTAATTTTGTTTTATATGTAAACACAACTATTTTTTTGCATAGTTTCACATACATTACAGTGTCTAGACATGAGACGACTCTGCAAATTGAGAGAAGCTTGCACTTGGTTTTGTTTGGAGCTTTAGTGCGAGCTGTTCACCGTTTTTAGAAAATCACATGACTGATGGCAGCACTGCCCTGGCACCAAAGTAGCAGATGAGATGCACGGAAACACTGTGTCAGGTGCTACTGCAGCCACATTGATTCTACATTTAGATGCAGGAATTTGACGGCTTCATTCCTGTGATTGTCCCTGAGCACTTACGTAAGGAAATAGATATTCTTTTATCATATTTACCTTCCTTTTATTTATTCCTTATCTTATAGTTACATCATTAAATTGATTCTCTTTCAAGATTATTTGGGCAGGTAGATTCTATTATTTATGATTTTCATTTCTAGATTAAAAAATAGACATTATAAAATATTTGTTGTATACAACAAGAGGTGAGTTGCTCTGTTTTGGGCCCCTCCTAGAAAAGGAGATAGTTGGGTGGAGGAAAGGCTGAGCAAGGAG